ATCAATTAATTCCCTGACGCGTAAGACCCTCTAGGGCAGTCAGCACCGGATCGACGCAGGAACCCTCATTGACGCGACAAGATTCCTCACCACCGCAGCAGTCCAAAAATGTATACAGAGATGCCGGTTCAGTTTAACACGCGCCAGGGTGGCCGGTTGAACACCCTTCTGTCGGGGAGGAACGACATGGAGACGCCAGACAGGGCCGCGAGTTGTATTCCTAGTTCCCAGTTTCATACGCTGTGTTAGTGGCCTGCAAAGGCGGCCATCGGTGCGGCTGGCTCCTAAAATAACCGACCGACAGCTGAGCGAGTTCGGGTGCCTCGGGGTGACTGAGCGAGGTCGGGCGCCTCGGGGTGACTGGGTCCGTAGCCCGAGGCTTGTCTAAGTTCAGGCCGGTCCTGACGTGTCATGCCTCTGCATGGTAGGAAGAGGAGGAGTTCGGTCCCACGTATCTTCCCTCCCCCAGGGAAGCGTAGGGACCCGAAAAGACCACAGCAAAGAGAGCGAATGTCTGAGCATGCACTAAGAGTAAATGTGGAGGTGCGGACATCGAAAGTATGGTTTGAACAAATAAGCACGTTAACTCGTAATAGTTGCAATAGTTAGTTACACCTACTACATGCCACGGTGGCTTAGATGGTCTTTAACGTGATAGAAAGGGACAATTGCCAGGCCCGCCCCGTGCCCGCCAAGGTCATCAGGCTTACGACCGGACGACTCAGTGCTCTTTGGCGGGACCGTCCTCGGCATCTCTGGCCGCTTCGGCCATTCGGACCTGAATCACACATATGCGCAAATCTCAGCGAATTTACCTCGATATGGCACATAATTGAATGTTCATACATGTGCAAATGCTGCTCATTTGAAACGCTAATGTGACTCATTGCAAGGCGCAAAATTAGAATAACGATCAGAAAAATGCACTTGCAAATCTACTCTCCCACTCCCATAAGTTTAAAGGGAGCAGCCGACACAGAACAAATATACTACGCACAGCACGCGAGATACCATGCAAGATCTGGCGAGCACCATATTTTCTCTCAGCGAGAGGTGTGGTCCCATTTTTAAGGATGGGGTGAATGTATGGCACGCGTTTTCGGGGGTGGATCCGAGTGTGGCTGCAAACTTGTGAGGACGAAGAGCGAAAGCCCGACCAAGAAGCTGATCTGCGACTTTGTGTGAGTGGCTGTAAATACGGGTGGTGGGCTACGCCTTAAGTGTTTCACATTGAAACACGAGGTGATCTGAGTGGGCGGTGACAGGGCAGACGCGCCCGACGTCGATAGACATGGTAGCCGAGGTCGGTGACGCGCGCTTTGGCGCGGCGGCTCGTTCACTAACCTACGCCGAGGCCATCGTGGTTTAGCCGTTGGAGGCGACCGTTAGCATCCAGGTCGTATCATTATGACCCTAAGCGGTCATGTGTCGCGGTCGCGACTTGAAACTCGTAAAATTAATTCAATTTCCTAATAAATTTCATATATATATATATATATATATATATATATATATATATATATATATATATATATATATACATGTGTGCGTGCGTGCGTGCGTGCGTGTGTGCGTGCGTGCGTGTGTGTGTGTGTGTGTGTGTGTGTGGTGTGTGTGTGTGTGTGTGTGTGTGTGTGTGTGTGCGTGCGTGCGTGCGTGCGTGCGTGCGTGCGTGCGTGTGTGTGTGTGTGTGTGTGTGTGTGTGTGTGTGTGTGTGTGTGTGTGTGTGTGTGTGTGTGTGTGTGTGTGTGTGTGTGTGTGTGTGTGTGTGTGTGTGTGTGTGTGTGTGTGTATGCAGCATGTTACCTAGGTAAACACAGCCTAGTAGCAAGTTTGCAGTTTCAGCCTAGCAAATACAGCGCGGGTAACAATACCTTACTTGTAACTTGCTACTCCGCTGGCTGGTTCTCTCCGGATATGAGTGGAAACGATCCATCCACATCTTTGATTTTGCAGGTCGCGTGGTTCGTGAACCAGATGACTCAACGCAAGCCATGAGTCTAAACTGAGCTGAGACAAAAAACTATTAGGCATGAGCTGAATCAGACCCCAAAGTCCGTGAACTAGTCGATTGAGCCGAATAAAATGTTGTCTTTGCGACGGTGTATTCGACAGCCAGACAACTTAATTTTAGATTATGACTGATTCTATTTACCCTGAGTCAGATATGAAGGTCAGGTCAAAGTGAAAACCAATCAAGAAAACAATTCTCAACATCTTGATTTCAGAGAGGTCAACAAGGCTACTCATTGAACTTCACAAGGCTGGAAGGAATTTACTGATCTAAAATGACCTCGATGACCTTTTTCTTTCTAAAACCATGCTGTTTATCGTGAAAGTTGCCTCTTGTTGAAGCTAAAAACTTTAAATAAGGGTTGAGGTTATTGTCACCCTGACCTTCTCAAGGTCCAAAAAGGTCACAAACCTGAACTGAACACCAGTGACCTTTGGCTTAAAAAGATATCTAGGTTAAAGGTGGTGGCATAAGGAGATTCGAGGAAAATTCGGACACCGATCTAAAGTTTGACCTCTGTTTGACTATTCGATCCGGAGGTCAATCCCAGGACCACAAAATTTCATACTAGGAGGTGATGTGCTAGCTTTTTCGTCGTGTACACGGTGTTTCTAGCTCACTTAGCTTTTGAAATCTCAGAGCTCCTCCCCCCTTACCACCCGGGTGGCGTGGTTCTTAACCAGCCGTTCGGACGTTTCGAATCTCTCAGTGCCGCTGAGAATCGCTGCCGCTAAAAGAGCTCTGCAGCCGTGCCGGCGTAAAAAACGCTATCTCGTAATAACTTAGTTGACAGTTAATTTTGTAGCTGGAAAACCGCTCTTTGGATTTCAGATTGCTCTTCTTTTGAAAAAAAATAATTGCGGACTTGTTCTAAGCAGTCTGTGGCTGAAGCAGTAAAATAATGACATGTTTGGTGCAAAATATTTTGTCATTACTGCGCCAAAACCATCTCACTGCGTTGTTTGTTTACATCCTGGCAGGGGAATGTACCTGTCCTCAGGCCCGAAACTAGTTACTGTCTGATACGCTGTTGGTGGTTACGCTCCTTCTGCTGGTGAGTTTCCGAGCGATATGGTCTTTGTTTTTGTCTTGTGGGTATGCATTCTAATTTCGGTTTGTTTAGTGTCATGCTAGTTCTGTTTGTCCATGTATGGTGTCCCACAGTTGGTGATAACTGGTTGACTACCAGTCCGGAAACAAAAACCTGCTGGGCTGGTTTTTAATCGGATTCCGACGGACCCTGCTTGAACGTTGGCAGGCAAGCGTCAAGTTGCTCAGTGTGTTTCAAAGACAGAACAAGTGTGTTCTGTGTGGTATTGTGAATCGGTACAAGTGAGGGGCTATGAAACTCAAAGCATAACTTTCATATGTTGTAATATGTGTTTGCTGTTTTAATTGGAAAGTTTTCATGTGCTTAAAACCATGTTTTTTAAGCTTCTTTCATTCGGAGCGATACAAACTAACTGCTCTTGGAAGGCAGGTATAATGAGTCTGGATGTACCAGAACCTCTGTGCCAGCCTGCCAAAAATTCATTACTGCTACATGCATACAGAATGTGGGTGCACTGAATATGGTACATGTGCACCATTCTCTGGGTGGTCCAAAATGTGCTAAATTATCTGATGGCATTGCTTGGCATACATCTTGGGGCATTCTTACTGGAATTAGCCTTTGCAACATTATTATTCTGTGAAATATTGCCTGTTAGTGCACTGGAATTAGCAACAACTGTGCACCAAATTCAACATGCTCAAATTTTCAGCATACATGCACTGAACTTATTATCATGAGTTTACTTTTAGGCTGAGCATGTTTAATATATTTGTGCCTTTTACAGCCTGGCTGTTGAGATTAATGGGTCATTATTGAGATCATCACCAACATGCTACATTTGCAAGGGTTCTTACTTATGATATTGTTGCAGCCTGAACAATTTTTTGCTGGCTGTATGGTGTCCTTTTTGCAATGTTTGACATAACCATTCTAATTGAACAGTAAGTTATTCACAGCATGTCACAAACCTACCAGGCAAGGCACATTGGTTTGATTAGAGTACCTTAACTTAAAAGAAATTCAAATAGAATGCAATGGTGGCTAAATGCTTGAAGGCTAGTCTCTCTCTCAGTGTCTCAGTCTCAGTGATCGAGCCTGACAACTGTCTGGTGTGAGATCATAAAGTTTTGTCATGAAGGATAATGTCATAGAGTTTGCAGATGTCAGATTATTTTTAGTGGATCAGTGTGGTGTAGAAAATTAGAAGATTTTTTTATGTTTTCCTTTTGCGCTCTTCCACATGAAAAATCCAGTTACTTGCATGAGACCTTATAGTGACATGCATATCAGTAATACCATTAATGGAAACTTGTAGATGTGTGCTAAGTCCATTTTACACTGAATGGTGCTTAATTTTGGGTCACTTTTTGGCAGAGAATGACACTTGATTTAATTGTTTGTGCAATTACCATTATATCATTCTAATGCCCTAGAATTTCAGTTCTCTCCATCCACTCAAATGATTGCCTTGACTGTGTTAAACACTTGGATTTATGGCATGCATGTGCATGTGGTGTGCTTAATTCCAACATTATGCCTGGCATGTCCATACTTTGTATTTTTGTGGTATGGTCATGAGGTGGTGTGCAATGCTGCTGCTAGTCTATGGGTTTTATTTTTTTAATTTTGTGATCGGTTTATCAAGGTTGCTCTGATTGACTGTGCTACTGACTTCTGAATTGATTCAAGATATTCCGAATGCATTGAGAATTTAAGAATCTTGTAAAGATGTCCAAACAACATGATATTCATGGTATTTCAGCTTTATATAATGTGCATCTGAACATGGGTAGCAGCCATCACAAGTGCACCAGCACATCATTTTCTGATGACAATTTTCTTGAGGTTTACCTACCTTCCTGTCACTTTCTGCATAAGTTCATCTCCTTTGTTGTCTGTTGCCAGGTTGCCAGCAAAGCAGTTTAAGCATGTTATCAATGGAACCCTGGAAGGCTCATCATGTTGTGGAGCAGGGAACTGAGAGTCTTTCTGATTGTGATATTGTTGTTCTAGAAAGGTAAATATGCTTATTAGATAAGCTGAAGCTCAGTGTCAAAGAACTTGATTGTGCACATGCCTAACAATGTTTGAATATCTGAGATTGTACATCCTGACTGGTGTATCATATTTTCTGTAACTCATTCAAATAAGTGTTTGTTTTTATTTGTATGAGATGCTAGCTTTTTGTCTCACTAAACACAGCTGTAGTTTTGACTGTGTGGTCAATTCTGGTTGTATTTTAAGGTTATGTAGGTGCATACAGCACAGATGTAACCCATGTGCACACATGCATGCATGCACACATGTACACATGCACACATGCACACATGCATGCATGCCACATGCATGGACATGCATTTGACTGGGTGCAGGCCCAGAGAGATGCATTCACATTTGCATTTACATATACAGACCCATATACATATATGCCACATATTGGCATATGCTGATCCACTTCCTTTTCTGATATGAACTTGTGATATGTTTCTGCTAATAGCTGCAGTTTACACAGCTAACAGCTGCATTGTCAGGCAAAGATAATCATGTACAGTGTACACCATGGTGGCTTGACACATGCACAACAACACGAAGTGGAAATTCCACACAGGCACATGCAATTGCACATGACCCACCCCAAATATACAGATGTATTTCATTTATCACAACATCATATAAAATTACAGTTTCTCAACCCAATCTCAGAACGTGTCACGCCAAAGGAACTCCAAAGTTGGATGCCATAACTGGAAGGCTACATGCAAATGAATGTTTTTGTGTGTGGAAGCAGTCAGATTTTGTTAAACACTTTCCAGTCTGGATAGATTGACCCAAATCCTGCTGAATGTGAATGTGCAAGTTCTGAAGTGTGACACTTATGTAAGATTCACGTGTGAATGCGATTATGGAAGTTCGGACATGTGGAACCTATGTGAGATGCATGTGTGAATATGTCTGAGCAAGTTTGGAACTGTGGAATGTGTTTGAGATACATGCATCTTACAGGCTCCACATTTCAGGACATGCATGGTCACATTCAGCAGATTCGGGTAAATCAAATTGTCATGCAACACCTGACCCCTCCCCATGCGAAAACATTTGTTTACATATGGCACTCTGGTTTTGGCTTCCAATTTAAGTATTTCAAGCAGGGCACATTCCTTGCTTGTTTTAAGGACCTTGGCTGCATGTACCTTTAAAAAACGTCTGGTACTAAATTACAAAGTCTCGTTGTTTCTTGAGGATGATTGTTTATTTGTTTATTTAGGGGACACTTATTCCACAGGCAAAAGCCCAAATATGAAAGCAGTCCAGTTTAGAAACAATAAGTATATGATACATGCACACACAAAAACCAGCGTAACACAAACACACACACACACACACACGCACGCACGCACGCACGCACGCACGCACGCACGCACGCACGTACGCACGCACGTACGCATGCACGCACGCACGCACGCACGCTACACACAACGGTCATCAAGAGAAGGTTTCACGTGTGCCAGTGAACCTAAACAGATCAGATCGGAATGATTTTGTTGGGTGGAAAAAGCCAGTTGTGGAAGAATGTTGTAAACAATGATTGCAGACAATGGGTATCTGTGCTACAAATCCATTTTTAGCAGTGTATACCCTTGCAAATGACTCATGGAAAAGGCCGGTATGCCGAGGACGCCGGACGGGTGTAAAGCCAGACCGAACAGTGATGTCAGGTGGGCGCAGTCAAGCCTGTAATGATATACGTTTTATAAAAATAAGACGTCAGACTGAGTGAAGCGTGCCTTGATGATGGTGTTTTGAAGCAAGCGAAAAAATGCTCGTAATCCAGTGGAGAACACCGGGCTACTCGAACCCAGCCACTTGAGAAACCGGTGCTGCGTTTCGAAGCGGGCGAGATGGGAAACGGAAAACCGCACCAAATAACGGTACCGTACAATATCAATGGTCTCACATGAGCGTCGAAGGCACAAAGCAGAGCCTTGTGATTGAACCGCGCTTGACGTGGACTCGACGGAATTTGCACGCTTCGCATGGGAAAGCTCAGCATCCTGTTTGCTTTGGAGACAGTTGAATCTATGTGATTGGGAAAATTGAGTTTGGTGTCCAGGAAGACGCAGAGATCGCGAATCTGCTGGCAGCTATCCAAACGGTACCTGTCCAGTGCGTATGAATAGGCAACAGGTGACGTGCGAAGGGTGAATGAGATGGTATTGCACTTAGCTGGGTTCAGTTTCAGTCCACAGTTTTTAGACCACTCACAAAAGCGATCCAAATCCGCCTGAGGTGTGAGACGATTTGCTACGTTGTCGATTCGGTGATAAATTTTCACATCATCAGCGTGCATAAGACACTCACCCTCCGTTTCGTTAGGAACATTGGCCAGAAAGCAGACAAAAAGCAACGGTCCCAGGACGCCGCCTTCCGGGACACCAGATCGCACTGAAGTCCACTCAGACTGCGTGCCGTTCAGCACTACGCATGGTGAACGATTGCTCACGCACGACTCCAGCCAGCTGTGCATGCGGCCAGTGATGCAAAAAGAATAGCGAAGCTTGTGTAGCAGAAGAAGATGATTGACGCTGGTGAATGCTGAAGAGTAATCGGTGTAAATTGTATCTGTTTGTTGACCTTTTGAGATAGATGTCCAGCAGTGTTCAAGGAGACATGAAGGGTTTTTGATGCAGGAGCCCTTTGGAAGGAATCTGTGCTAGGACCTAAGGCAGGGCAGGCAAACAAACCTGTAAGAGGCTTTCGTACACAATGTTTTCCAATATTTTTGAGCAGATAGGAAGCAAAGACACTGACCCGTAATTTTCAGGCACCTTTTTGGGCCGCTTCTTGTTCACCGGTATCACGTTCCCTTACTTCCACATGGCGGGGAAGACGCCAGAGTTTAGGGAAGGCTTGCATGTTATTTCTAGCCGAACAGCTAGCTCCTCGGCATACTCCCTGAGAATCCGGACACTGAGCCTGTCGGGGCCGCAGGCCTTGGGAGCACTGAGATCGCAAACAGGTGGGATATACGGCCATGTGGTACGGTAAAGCTGTCTAATCCAGGCGCATCGAGCAAAGGAGGGCCAGGCAATATACGAACGTTTGGGTCGCAGAACTTATGGGCAAAACACATATTCAGACAGTTGGCACGCTCCTCATCACCCTTACACACATTGTCATGGCACTCAGGAACGGGAGATATATGCCCTTATGACATCAAGGATTTAACGAAGGGCCAACATTTTTTCGGGTTGTTCTTAAAGTCTCGCACTAGAACCAACAGATCCTCGCAATATTTAGCATCAGCTGCTGTTTGCAAGTCGGCTTGAGTAGTACGGTGCCTAGCAAGATTGTCGGCGGTCGGAAGCGGTTTCTTACGTCTGTGAGCCATATGATGCATTTGACATACATCTGTAGATTTGGGCGCGGGTATGTGCCATTGTATATGTTTGTATGGTGTTTTCATTTTGTTTGTGTCCTGCGCGTGTGGCACACCATCGTGGGGTACGCTGTGCGCGTGTGGCACACCATCATGGGGTACGCTGTGCGCGTGTGGCACACCGTCATGGGGTACGCTGTGCGCGTGTGGCACACCATCATGGGGTACGCTGTGCGCGTGTGGCACACCATCATGGGGTACGCTGTGCGTGTTTGTTTTTTTGTCTGACGACGCAGCCGTCGTTACTGTGAGACGCGTCGCGAGTTGGTATTCTTCATTGCCTCCGGCACAATTTCTGTGAAATGGTTATCTTTGTGCGCTCTTGCAATGTGTTTCGTGAATCCAAAGGTCTTATCCTGATAGCAATTGACCTTCAGTATGCGATGAGGTACTGTTTAAAGGATGCTTTCAAGCAAACATTGGTCATATTGTTAATACTCGATGTTTCAAGTTTTGCTCATGGTCACAGGTTAGTTACCATCGTCATGATCACCTGTGAGGATGAGCACAGCTGGAAATGTGGAGTATTCACAGTCTGATCAGTGTTTGCTTGATCATATCCTGTAACCAGCGCCTCCTGGTGTATCGAAGGTCGGTAACGGTCAGTATTATAATTCTGAATTAACGATATCCTCCAAAAAAGAGAAATCCATGGCCTTTCTCGCTGATATGAAGCGTTTATGTCAATTATAACAGGTGCAATGTGGGTCTGTAATGTTCTATAAGCTGCTGTGGGATTCATACTTGGGTGTGTTAGCGTCGGGCTGTTATGCTGTTTGGTGTGCTGGATGATGCCATGAATAATGAAGTCGCAACCTTAGGGTTCACTTGCACTTAAAACACGAATATCACTTGTTTTCCGCGTATCTTTTCGTGTGGTGCAAAAAGATACATCCTGCCCTCGGGACTGAAATTTTGCCGGATTTCCTTGTGCTGCTCTTTGTATTTAGGCGTACATGACGCATACAGGCAGTCTAATTCAGTGATATTGTTGAATGACTAGCTGCGGATAGTTGGCCGTTCAGCTATGTGCGTTGAAGCGTTCCTTTGAAAACGACTAGTAAATCGTTGTCAGAATGACCTTCTGTTGAGATAGATGGTCATATCACTATGCCTCGAAAAAAAGATAAAAAGACATAATGCCGGAATCGCATGATTGCTTCATCATCGTGTGGAAACTGCTGCGGTTGTAGCATGTATCAGTCCGATGACACTTGTACTGACATTTGCGCTATGCTTAGCACCGTTAACTGTCGGAATCTGACGCCGGGGTCGAGAGACGCCACACTCGCCTCCTCGTCCACACTCGCCTACTTGTCCGGGGTGGGTAGGCGAGTATCCTCGGGGCTGCACGGCAAAGTACTGTGGGCTCGTGCTTACACTTGCTTTACATCAGCCGGCCCCCAAGTTGCGATCCGTCAGGTCCCGTCATCGGCAGCCAGCGTGCCTCAGTCGTGTGCTGGCTATCGACGCAGCCGTGGCCACGTCTGTCCGATTACGCTGATAAAGAGACGCGCCCCGAGCGGCGTCTCTCTCCCATGTGACTTCTGCTGCGTCAGGAGTGTTGTGCGGTGTGAGTGCCGTCTGGCCGGTGATCGGCTGTGACCTTGGCACGGCGTCCGGTCGCAGTGCGCCGACTTTGGCTCCTGGCGCACTCCCGCTCTGTTGCAGGTACCGCGCTTTCCGACGCAGCACCATGGCCGGCGCCTGCCCGCAGAAGCAGTTCGACGCGGCCGTGCACCTGATCAGGGGCCTGCCCAAAAACGGTAACCGAATCTCGTGGTTGGTCCCAGTAACCCGGCCTGACCAGGAGGGGTCCTGTGCATTCACATGCATGGACGAGAGTGTAATTGCTAAGTATTCATTACGGACGTTGTCGGTGCGCTATAGAGCACGGCGTTAGACCTATCCGCGCGCATATCGTAGCGTAGCTGATTGGCCGCATCCGCAGAGCATGGTCCGCTCCTGGTCAGGGCTGGGCTGTACGTGGACGGAAAGCCGTGCGACTACAGTCCTACCCCCGCCACCCGTCTCGTCCGGCCCGGCTCAAGGCGCCCCGCCGCGTGTTCGGCAGGTCCGTTCCAGCCTTCGAACGACATGAAGCTGAAGCTGTACGGCTTCTTCAAGCAGGCGACGGAGGGACCTTGTACGCAGCCGGCGCCCTCCTTCTGGGATCTGGTGGGCAAGGCCAAGTGGGGTGCCTGGAAGAGCCTGGGCGACATGCCGCCAGAGGAGGCCATGCTCGAGTATGTGGAGGAGATCAAGAAGGTGAGTCTGCCGCGGCGGCCCCGCCGACTGGCGACGCATGCCACCGGCCGATATCGGTGCAATGGGAACGCGCATGACACGTGACAGCAGAATGACGGGGCAGCATGAAAGTAGCGCGCGGAACGCGGTTTTTTTTAATGCGCCCTAGCTGTGCTTCTGCTAGGTAGGGTAAGCAGGATTTCCTGACCGAGGTACAAGATATATTTTCTACTTGCGGGTCCGATAATCTGAGCTTTGGTTCTCAAAGGAGTACTCTAACCGTACAGTGTTTTGTATTCATTTCGTTAGAACTGCTTATTCCACAAGTATTGACGGTGTTCGTACTTGATTGTTGGCTATATGATATCGCGATGCAGTTTCACGTGAGTGTGCCGTTGGTGCGGCTCAGGGCATGTTGCACCATACTTGTGGCCGCCTTGAGCCGAATCAAAAGGTGTCTTATGAATCAAAGGTTGCCTTACGAGTTGAGAGGGAAATCGATTCCAGTGGGTCAATTATGTGTTCAATCATGAGCCAGGCGTCGAATCAAAGGTCTGCTGTTTTAGATATGAAGCCAATGACGAACAATAATTCAAATGACTACAATTTTAAGTTCATAGGTCGTGTTTATGTGAAATATGATCTGAATGAATTTTTTATATCATATACATTCATATGAGGATGAAGAACAGAATATCCAACAATTTGAATATTTTTGCGCCCTGTCATGTATAGTACAGGACCTTGTAACGCATAGGTTTTGGTCTTCTGATGGAATGGTTGCAAAAACCATGTACGCAGTTGTCAATCAAATTACGCATTAAAATGCGGTGTCGCCTGCTGTATGATTAAAGTGCTGACACCATTGGCATCAGCAAACGCACGGCATGATATGAAGTAAGCGCAAATAGCAACGCAACAAATACGTTCTGCAATAATATCCAGTGATCCTGTGAAGGCGTGCAATACATAAATGGCTCAGACGAAAATAGCAGGACGACTTACACTGACGTGTGCGGTTCAGTACGAGTACGCAGTAAAAACTAATTCGGAGAAGCTGCACTGCGGCTTCGTGACTATCTGATCTTATCACCATAAAAAATGAAATTTGCACTGTGCGATGTGTAATATTTTGAACGTGACTGAATACAGCCACTAAGGTACCATAGGCGACGCGTGATGAGCGTGGCGATGCGGTTATCAGCAATTATCATTTTGATCATGCCAAAGGCTAGGGTAATGGGACCAGACATCTCGGAAACCTGTGCTGGTGAGATTCATGAATAAATGTAGTGATAGTTAAGTAGGGTGTTGGTCATTATTTTATAAATTTAAACGTTATTTTGCCAATGCTGCTAACTGAGATAATGATGTCTCCAAAAGTGTACAGACGTGAACGTCATTTTATCTTTATTCGATGTAATATGCCGAAAATGACGTTGACAAAATACATCTTAATAGTTTTTAACATTCGTTCTCTTCATGGCGAGCATCAGCCTGTGTACTCGGCTCCTTAGTGGACTGATCAATGCGCTGGAAAGCCTTCTTTTAATGAGGACTTAGCATGTAGAGCTCCACCGATGTAGCCTCCGCGCTCGTTATGCGGACAATGCTGCTGGAAAATTGGCAGGCCGTATGTATATCTGGGGAATGGAATCATGTAGCGAAAGGCAAACGTACGCATTTCTTGGCTGTGTCGTGTATGCATGGGAGCCGGGGGCAAGCCCTAATATCTTATCTATATTCGTAAATGATTCATAGATATGGCGCATTCCATCGTTGTTTCATTAAACTAGCCCAGGTTCTGAGAACGTCAGCAGGCGAAATTGGCGAGTCTGTAGTCATGTCATGCAGTCTAGAACCTAATGTTTTGCAAAAAGCATTTTCTGGGATGGCGTAGTGATTTGCGGACGGTGCATTGGCCGGTGTGCTGTTTGCTTCACGTCTTTATCTGTTGGGCTCCCGGAGATCTGCCGGTAGCCATCAAAGGCGCCCCCAAACCACACTTTCCACGCACTTTTCCGCACTCCACCTTCTCTCTCCATACACGCTTTTGCTATGACCATTGGCCATCCTTTTCTCAGTCCAAATTTATTAGTCTCGTATCTTCTTATCTCCCCAGGCGAGTTGGGAACCTTTGGCTCAGCTGATACGCGGTGAACAGTTCTTACAATTGTCCGTGTTGACGGAGCATAAATGTTATTTTGTTCAAATTAGAAGCTCTATGAAAATGGTCCTGCATCAAATAAGATTCAGTACAAAATCCTACAAATTGTACGGCTTAACTTTCGAACAATTGCGTTTTTGGTTTCCGAAAGTTGCATTGAACAGCAAGCTGCGAGAATATTAGCTCCTGTAAGGTGTCACGGCTGGGCCTGGCCGGCCTGGCCCAGCTGAAATTGTTCAATGTTCTGATCATTTATATCAAGTACATGGCATCACGTGAAGTGATTCTATTGTTCAGCGCCTGGGGCTTCGCACCGCCCTTACAATGTTTCCATTTATTATGTTTTAGAGGGCGCTGTGTACCCACGTATTTGAGGCAGGACTGTGCGCAAGACTCCCTTGCCCTCTTGCCATGTATTTCCACTGTTACATCAGGTGCTATCTTTTGTTTTTCTTTTCGTTCTATTCTGCTCGTGCATGAAGTCTGAAGGGATGTTGCAGCACAGTTGGGCCATAATGGTTTCGCTTGCATTGTCTGCTTGCCCTGACACCTCGCTCTCGGTAGGCCATGCAGAGGATACCCGCCGCATGTACAATGCTGGGGCGGAACATTCGCAGAGGCGTCCTCTCGGGGATTTGGTTGGAACATTCCATCCTAATCAGGGACTGGTGTTTCGTTTAAGTCCCCTATCTGTGTCGGTTCCTAGTTAATCTTACACGAAACGCTGAACAGGGCAGTGGGATCCGAAATACAGTGGCGTTCTTTTGGAATATCTATTGGGCTTTCTGTTGGGTTTATATGAGCCTCCAGTCAACGTTCGTGCATGTAATGGGAGTGAGCGCCCATAGTTACCCTGAAATATGTAAAAGCGGTTTATTAGGAGCCCACTATCTCCTACACTTCGATTGGTGCGGATGGTATGGAGATGCATACATGAAAATATATGCGTGTCTGCACGTTGGATCACGAGTCGCGAATCGCGTCTTTGTTGGGAATGAGTGAACCCACAGATTGTGTGGATCGCTGTGGGTCATTAGTGGAATTATGATTCGCGGGCTACGAGTGAGGTTTGAGTCGATTCATTCCTGTTCATAGCTTTGTGTTTGGCCGCGAATGAGATCTCGAAATGGATGTTTAAGCTTTGGGCCATTAGCATAATTTAATTAGAACACGCATGTGCGCGTCACGCATGTGGGAGTCTGTCACGCGCGCTGCACACCTCCCTGTATACAGTGCCCCTTCCGCGTACAGCCCCGCCCGGTTCCCCCCGCACCGGTCCGCAGTAGCTGTTCCGTGCCCAGCCCTGGGACCGCGGCAGACCATTTGGAGAGCGCTGGTTCTCTAATCGTCATTGTTCCATGCGGGTCTTGTCTGTCTGCCGGTCGACCGGCTCTTGGTTGTGTCGCGTCCGCGTGCTGCTGTACTCTGCCTCCCTCCCGCTCCGCGAGGAGCCAGCAGTAGGTCCCACCCCCGCGCTGACCGCGGCCGGACGCTGCCGCCGCGAACTGCGCAACGCCCGGCCTGCATGCGGTGCCGCGGACATGATCCTCCGGGGCTCCGAACTTAAGTGGCGCGGGCAGAGGGCGGAGCGTGCCCCGCACGCGGAGAGAGCCGCCCGGCTGCAGTCTGCGTGTGGCTGTGGTGCGGGGCCCGGTCGGGGCAGGCCTGACAGCCGCGCGCCGGTAAGCTCTTAACAGGTCCGTCGGGTATCGGCAAGAAATCAAGACCAGCGCGGCGGTCGTGGGGGGGGGGGGGTCGGTCAGACCTCTGTCCCCATCCCCCCTGCTTTGCTCCGAAGTGGGTCACGTTTCCACGGTGGTGGTGCCGGCCGCGTGGCTGGCCACTGGCGGACCAAATAAACGCCGCCGAGCGGCGCCGGAGGCTTCACTTTCTGAGCCTTGAGCGGCCACACGACTGCCAATGAACGGGGCGGCACGTCAGCTAGTGCCAGCCGGCTGTGCCCGGCGCATTCCCAATAACTGGTCCTTCGTTGGCAGGCTCTCAGCATCCTTCCTGTCCAGACGTCTGTTGCACGTCCGGGTATGCACCGGCGTCTTATCAATACCAATGCAGAAATGGTTCCTTTGGGATGGCGTATGTCGGTGGAAAGTCGCCATGTGAAGTTCACACCGTGCTATGTGTCGTGAGGTTTGTGGATGTGTGCCTGTGGGTGTGCATCAATCAGTTCCCTAGTCATTTATATCAGTCAAAGCCAGCTAAGGTTTCAAGAAAATTCGTTCCCATAGATAAGACAGTAGTTATAGCATTATTCCTCGGAGAAAAAACAACATTAGAGTGGGGATACAGATTCGTCGGTATTTCGGCAACACGCCTTTATTGAAGCGAATAGCAGAAGCATACCAAACATACGTACTATCCGTAAGCAGTTTCAGAATAGCAATTTAATATTGTCTAACCGCACATACCAAACCAATCTTTCCGTTTCCGAGGTTTTAAGATGTCATCCAAAACCTTGAAGGAACCATCAGGCATAAACAAGGCTTTACAGAACCTGGACACCTATCGCTACATCCTGCCTCAATTACATTTGAGCCATGTTTATGTATGCGCAAGGTCTGTGTATGCTCCACCACTAAGTTGCACCACCTCCGAAATGCAGGAATGGAAAATTAAGGAGTGTCTCCTAAATGAAATTTAAAAGCTGAATATCACGGTTTGCCCACTTGCCATCACGGGTTTCTAGTCAAATCAGCTGATTAGAAAATTACACCACAAAGCTGTTAGTCTTAATTCTTATTTAATTAGTTTTATTTTTATTCGTATCATACGAGTGTAACACAACTTCATTTTTCCTTTCTTTCTAATTGCCTTTGAAGATGCCATCTATGGCTTA